ATATATATGTATAACTTAAAAAAACATGATACTATTCTTTTAATAGTATAAACATATATTTTTATACTGTTTATATATAATATATTATTGTATCTACATCTTTTTACCTTTGTTGGAGTCAATGGCATGAACGAAGGGCCGTCTAAAGGTGTTAGGCTGTTAGAGCTAAAATATGGTATAGAGAGCTTAATAGATTATTATTTTCATCATTTTCAGAAATAAAGTTTAAAATAAAATGTTTAAGGCTCGACAAAGCTCGTATTCCGCGTGCTTGTTTTACCGTAATTTATCATAAAAAGTATTTTATATACTAAATTAATAATTAAATAATATATTATACTGTGATAATGAAAGAGATTTATTTTATTTCTAGGTTTTTTTATGATTTACCTCTTGTTGGTATCATTTTGTACTGCCAAAGGTGATTTATCTTGCAGAAATATCACAATTTCGTTTGATATCCGTTTAAGTTCATTCTTTAAAGAGTTGAAATTTTGGGCTTCCTCAATATCCTTATTCGAATTTTTTACGTGATTTTGTGACATCTCAGGTTGCAAATTCATTGATCTAGTAACAGAACTTTTTCGCAAGTTGGTTCTGGAATTCATTTTAATGCCAACTTGTGAAAGAGTTTTATTATTTAAATTTACATTAGACGTCATACTTTTGGGCACGGTACCAGCTGAAAAGATTTACAAGTAAGAAAAATCTTTCTTCTTAATTAACATAAGTGCATACATATTTTTCTCATACTCTCAAAAAATACTAACTATATGGTTTCCTCATTTTCTCTTTCCACATTTGAATACTGGAAAATGTTCTTTTTTTAACATCATCTGTAAGATGTTTAATTTTTTGACCATTAGGTAATTGAACAACACTGTTTTGTGCACACTGGATTTCTCTGCTTTCTGAATGAGATCTGTACGAAACATAATCAATTAATGTCAAAATGATAAATTATTATTAAAATAATAAATGATTATAAAAATGATAAATATAGTATAAAATATAAAAATAAATAGTAATGAAACAAGTAAGCATATATGCATAAATAAACATTAATTTAAAAATGTAATTTTAAAAGATATAATATTTGTACATCATTTTTTGCCCCTTTAACAACAAAAAATGCACTGTTTTATAATTATAAATAGCGCACATATTATTTTTAGTTAATATTTTTGTATCAATGCTCTGAGGGCTAAATTTACAATATAAAATAAAAAAAATGTTACTCATTGTTTACGTTTCATTTATTTGATAAAATACTGAAAACAATACTTAATAAAAAGCTCAGAAAATATTAATAAAAATATAATATTTTGCTTTATAATAGAAGAGAAAATATAAATACAAGTAAAGTTAGATGTAATATAGCAAACAAAATCTTAAAGAATATTATTATATTCTTTATGATTTTACTATATGTAGTAAAAAATATTATATTTAATACTAAAGACCGTTAATGTGAGAACACAACCAATACAAATACAAAGCCTATAACAGTCTAGCTTTTTATCGCTTATATATAAACTATACGCGATACTATCACGAATTTAATTAAATTAATAATTAACTAATATACGTAGTCCCCCCAAATTGCGCGTCGAACAATCGTCAATTTTGAAACTCAACTCTAATAATCTTGAAAATACTAAATCTGGAAAAAAAATATTATCTTCAATTTTTTATAACTTAGAAAATAAAATTTATACAGCGATCATAATATTGAAGGACTCCTTATAATAAAATAATGTAAACAAATTTAAAAACGGCTATTAGGACAATCAGAGACAATCGGACTGTGACAGATGTCTGACATCTTTCTCAGTATTTCAATTTAGGACAATGATCTCTACTTTTAATAAGACGGTTTTAATTGTAATTTTTAATTTTGTTATTAACTTATTGTGCTCCTACGCATGATGTTTCTTGGATTCGATGGATTACACACATTCGTTACCAAAAGTATGGAAACTTTTTGGCCGAGAGAAGTGCTTCTTATTGAATCTTTGGATCAACACATATTGCTGAGGATGGCTAAAACGCCGAAACGTCCAGATGTGTATTTGACTACTTCAAGTTTTTAGTATTAAACATATCTTTATACAATCGAAAGTATATATTTTTTGCGCACTTCTTACCGCGCTGACTCCTAATAGCTGTCTTTAAATTTGTTTACACAATTTATACAATTATACATGCAATATTTTTGTTCTATATTTTTTATAAATTCTATTTTGTTCTATATTTTAAAATAAATATAAATAAATTATATATTATATTCTCTATGTGTGTGTATAAAAAGATTTATTGAAAATTTGTTTACTTGCACGTGAAATTACCTTTGATAGTTAGATAATTTGCTGTTTATGTTGGCTTTATTTAGAAGAGTATTCTGCCGACAGTTGCTTGAAGAACGTGCTCTAATAAAAAAAAAACCAATTCTTTTACCAAATTAAGTATTAGTTACAATTCTTTTACATTAGCTGATTAACTCATTAAAATTCTTTATTTTATATGCATATACGTAGGGTGATCCCATACGATTCAGCCAAATTTTGAGACCTTATAGGAAATTTAAATCTGAACAAAAACGTTTCATATTAATACAGATTAAAATGCAGCTTCCTTAAAAAGTTATCACCTACAAACCTCTGAAATCAGGATTATTTTATACATTTTTACAAATATCAAGAAATAAATGCGTTTTGTGATAAAAAAAAGGAAAAAAAAACCGAAAGGAAAGTTAGAGAAATTAGTGTAGAGAATGTGAAAAACGAAAGTGTAGAGAATTAAATTACCTTTCAAATAAGACTAAAACGATTATAGTGCGTTCTATAGGTTTCGAGAGATAATCAATTCCAAATGTACAAAAAAAAAAACGTTTATTGGAGTTAATATCGGCGGTATAACTTTTTAAAAAATAATTTGATTTTTTTAAGAAATGAATTTTCTTTTAACTTCTACGTTTCGTTTTATTCTTCATAAATACGTAAAGTAAACATAAATATGAAGAATAGCTTTAAAGACTTTACTGTCAATAACAAAAAAAGTTTGCCTATTTTTGGGGGGCAGGATAAGTGATGCTTTCATTTTGCTGTTGAGTGTATATATATGTATATATCAAAGTATATCAAATTTAATCTCTTAAGTTTTTACAACAGAACTGATTTTTGCGGAACATTCTTCTCACCTGCGTAAAATATATAAATTAGAATCGTTAAATTTCGCTACTTTAGTCGTTGATACGATTGTTTTTTCGAGTTCTTTGTTATCTCGGCTTGTTCTTATCTGTTTTTTGCATACGTCTTTTCTTACACGAGACCGTGATCGACCACTTTCATTGCTGTCGTCGGAGTAAATCTGAAACTTTCCTTTATTGGAAAAGTACTGTTGCATCACCGTCGGATTACAAACTGCATGATTTTCAGTGTTCCTTAATGACAGGCCTTTCTTCTTTCCGCTGTTCTTGAATTCAGAAAATTTGTATACATTTTCTTCAGTCATGATTATATTATATATTTCGTGACTACTTTAACTCTGCCGACTGAGGAATCTTCGCCGAAGTGATCAGGCGTCTAGAAAAATATATGTAAATTAATTTGTCATTGATCAATTAATTATTAATAATTATTGATATAATTTTTCTAATAAGGTAAATGCACCAGTTACCGGACATGTACTTATGTCTGGACACTTACACGAGATTTATTATTATTAATTTTAAATGTTTCATTTTTGTTACAACATTAGAGGAAAGCTCCCTATTATGAGATAGGCGCTTAACATGAGATAGCGGCGTTTCTGCTAAACTAATAAATTCTATCTGTTGATTCTATCATGAAATTATTGCTCTTGGATTGAAAACTATTTAGTGGAAAATTCATTGTGAGATCATGCCTACAGTAATTGTAAAATAAAATTTTAGAGTTTGAATGTTTTCGAGTTTCATTGAGATAAGCCTTTAATCTCTGTTTATTATTTAATAAGTAATTATTTGGCAATAAATTCTTCATGTAGTAATAGAGTAAGATCGTACTGATAGAAAAATACGAAATATGTTGAATTGTTTAATTAAAGAAGTTAGATTTGATGATCGTAAAGCTGTAAGACGTGATACTCGTAATATGAGATACCCAGAATATTTCTAATATGAAATAATCTATACTTCTGTGCCCAAGTGAAAATCGATGTTAAAGTATAAATGTTATTGTACAATAATAAAAAGAATAACCGGAATGAACATTGAGGGTCTGTTTCTGCAATACTTCATTCCAATTACTGCTGAAGACAAATCCTGAATACAATGCATCACATGCTAAATTTACGCGCATAGAATGTACTCGTTGATATGTTAGAAACATCAATTAAGTTTTTTTAATTCTAATACTGATGTACTTTGTGCTTTATTATCGATTTCTCGGGGTACCTCATACTAGGAGCACAATTTTTCGACTTTGCGATTTGTTCACTTTTTACATTTCTTTAATTAAAAAATAAAATAAAATTTGAATTAAATTTTACATAACACTATCTTAAAGCTTATTAAATTCTCTTCAAAATGACCTATTATTTTTTTTAATTCTACCAATAAACAATTAGTAATTACACAAAATGAACTCGGTATCTCATAATAGGGGCCTCTCCTTTATATAATTTAACTGTATTTAAAGGTTACTTAAAAAAAATAATCAGTAATAATAAGGCTCTGTAAGAATAAAACAAATTAGAAATAATTGAAGGGCTAAGAGCCAGTTATATAATAAAAAAACGTTTAATTTAAAAACATAAAAATAGAAATAATTACAAATGTTTCGACGCCGATCGGGTCATTCTCAATGTTACAGTAAATATTGTACTTTATAATTGTGAAGCGTTATAATCATGATTATTTTAATTTTACATTTCTGCAATCTTGCTTCAATATATAATTTTTAAGAAAACTATTCTTTTATATATAACTACTGTGTATCACGATATGGATCCACCTTTTTGCGATTTTTTATTCATTGACTCTCATTTTGTTTAATAAGTAATATCAGTTATTTAAGATTATTATCTGTATTACTGCTACGCATTTTCAACGACAAATTTGACTACTTTAATTTATTGACTCGCAGCATTATGTTAAAGGAAAAAACGAGAATACTACTATGAAGTAATATTTTATAGATTTCTAATAATTTTACAATTATAATGTATTTACTATAACATTGAGAATGACCCGATCGGGTTTCTAATTATTTTTATTTTTATGCTTTTAAATTGAATGTTCTTTATTATATAACTGGCTCTTAGACCTTCAATTGTTTCTAATTCACTTAAAAAAAATTTGAGAATAATAATAATAACAAATATAAAATTTTTATAAATGTCCGGACATAGATACATATCTTGAGACATTTACCTTACATTTCATGTGTGTGGTATAGATAAAGAGATAAAAGCGATAGTAATGTGAATTTTACTTTTTCAAATCTATCGACTTGAGATCACTATAGCAGTCTACTGAAATAAAGTAAAAAGAAACCCTTTTTTCAACTTTATTTCAACAGTTTCTCGAAATCGTAATTAAGTAACACCTGTATGGCTTTCATCCCTATATGTTTCAAATATAATGAACTGTGGGGAGTGTAATGTATATAATTTATAATAACTTATAGAAGTATTACATATGTTAAAAATTTTATCTTAATTATACACCAAATACTTCAATTATTAATCTGATGATAAAAATTGAAAGATCACAAATAATCAATAGAAAAACTTACACAAGATGTAATGCGCGATCTTATTTGTTGATGACTCGCGAAACGACTGCCAGGGAAATCAACAAATCCTACGACTTTTGCCTCGACTGTTTATATTGTACATTTATTCGTTCTACCAATGTAAATAAAGCTACATGAGATATCGAACACAGCACCAAAAATTTGAAATTTAAAATAATTTATCCACCTATTTATTTTACATGTATCAATTAAGAAAAATAGAAGGTGAACGTTAATAATGAAAAACGTTATTTTTAAATAACTGAGAGCTTTATGAGGTTTTATTAAACAAGATGTTATATATTCTCTCTAACGGCGTAGCATTCTCTCTTATTTACACTTTCAGTTTACATCCGCGGCTTATTCACTTCTAACTTGATTCGATTGAAGAAGCTCATGAAGATAACGCGTTCTATAACACAGATGAAACCGCTAATGAGCACCGCGGCTATTATGAAAAGTAACAGCGGTACAATATCGCCGATCTCGACCGATTTCCACGATGATGTTACCTGCGATTAAAGATAAATGTATTAGCCTGTCAGGTAATAATTCAGCAAAATTTACAATTTGTACAGCAGAGAAGTTTGCCGAAACATTATTGCAATGTTGCAGCTGTAATATTTCTGAATGATCTGTGTTCTATGGGAAGAATACGTACACTCCCTCCGCTTAGTTGAACCGACCATTGTGTCTCTAGTAATCGCTGTAGGATCCCGTTATCTCTCAAAAGAAGAATACTGCAACAAATAAAACGATCATATATATACTTCGATATCTTGATAAATTGGAGCTCACATATCGAGAATATTCTACCGATGACAATCGTATTGCTTTACGTTAAACATTATAAAATTAATATATGACACGCACGCGCATTCTCTCTCTCTCTCTCTCTCTCTCTCTCTCTCTCTCTCTCTCTCTCTCTCTCACACAATCATTTTATTTTACTTAATAATTTAGTTAATAAAGCTTGCACGCACTTTGCGTTAATGATACCACGGTATGGACTGTTTGATTGCAGAGCCATCGCTATAGTAGTTTGCGTGATGACATCCAACGGCTCCAACTTGCAGTCGACTTTTTGCTGCAGCAATGTCGCCATACTATCCAATGTCATAAAAGCATATTTGTCCTCTTTGCAAACACGTTCTAGACCATTCAAATAACTTCTCGGCAAATCAGTTTCCTTCATAAGTAATTCGTCGAACAGCACGCTCATTGTTTTATCCGATGTGTTCTGTCATAATAAAATTATCATAAGTCAAATATGAAACTTTTCTTAAATATAATTTTTTATAAAGAGAATAGATAGAAAAAAAGAAACTAATTTATTTTTAGAAAATTTCAATTGAAAACATATAAATTAGTACTTTATATCATTTGATATATATATATATAAACAAAAAACATACTATTTAATTAATTACAAAATATACTGTGTTACGGCATTTTTGCTTTAAACATGTAGGGTAAACCTCGTATATACACCGCGTCAGGAAATACGCCGCAGAAGTCGCAGGAAAAATAGAAAGAGTGGGGATAATTTTCCGTCAATTACTTTGTTACATGCCTTTATGGTATATTAGTATTATGTTATGATTTCAGTTTTTTACTCTTAATATTAATGAAATTATTGCGAGTTAAATCGATTTTTTACTGTAATAAGTAGTGCCATCATAATTTATAATCTACATAAAATGATTATTATAGAGCGTGTAAAAGACTTAGTGGTTATTTTGCAATACATATGTGTAGAGGAATAGTAAAGCATGTTGTATAGCAAAATACAAGTGCTTTGCTCTTGTATTGTTTGTTTAATTAGTAGTCATATATATCCCATCTATTTGGGATATACGGCATTTTTAACGAGCGGGATGCTGTGCCGCAACACAGGCGCTCTATTTAAGAAGTTTTTGTTAATTCTAAAAATTATATTTTGCATTAATGCATAAATGTTGATAAATCTTAAACGTTTAAAGATTATTTTCAAAGATTTGAAGGTATTTAAAAAAATTGTATTAAGTCCTATTTGTATTCCAATTTTCATTCTGAACAATAAAAATTGTCATATATTAATAAACAATGCAA